AAATATTCTGTAACTACGGAATAGACCATCTGCTTCATGTTTACACCGGCAAGCTTATTCCATTGTACGTACAGCCACTAGATGTACGTTTTCAGTTGTTTTTATGTAGACGGAGATCAACTCTAATATGCTGGTGTGGACGGAGATTGTATTCTTTTTAATTCTCTGTTAGTAGTGTGAATCGAGCCCAGCTTTAACCAGGAGAGGTTTGTGTTCCTATGTTTGATCAGACTGATCTCAGTATAAGTGTGAATTTCTCTCAGTTTGAAACATTTTTAACTTAACAATCTGCTTTGTGTTCAGTCTAAACACACTCATAAACATGTTGAAAATTAATAACACAACTAATAAAATTACTTAAATAAAAAAACACCACTAGAAAGAATCTCACCAATGAATGGCACGTAGATCTCAGAATAAATCGGATGTTTGAATTCCTCCTGTATGGGACACAGCGATAGCCGTCGGTCTTGGTCACAGAAGTTTGGAGGGTGATGTTGAAGCTGCCTCCTCTTTCTGAGACTGTGTATCAGCTGGAGGATGTTTCCAGAACGGTCCTGCCACTCTACTGTAGGTTTTGAAGAATTACCTTGGAAAACACACTCCAGTAGCACAGAGTCCTCTGTTCATTGAGTTTTGTGATGTATGGCCTTGGAGCTGCATCTGTGAACACAGTTTAAATAACTTATAAAGAACAATTGTTGGAGATGTATTACTGCAATGTTTTTGTTTACCCTTCTCTGCTTGTATAAGCCTATTTCAGTGGGAACAGAAAAAACTGAAAAGTACAACATAAGCCTTTATTACACACCCCAGCCTTGTTTTATATACAACATAATTTAAACTATCATAACTAAAATATTTGGTAACTTATTACAACTGCTAACAGATGACAGATTATTGAGACAGCGTAATGATCCAAGTCCTTATAGATACCGCTATCAAAACTTTTCTATTATTTGGTAGAAAGACGAGACCCAACGGCAGCCAGAGCTGGAGGTGTTCGACTCGAAGAGAGATTTGGAGTCAATGTATTTTGTTTAATTGATGCGCAAAGTTGAGTTGCTACAGCATTGACATTGTGTCTGCGATGTGTGATAACATTCTATTGAGATGATGATATGACTTGTGATAAAAAAGTGTAAAGTAAAGTGCATAAACTCCCTGGTTGTTTTTAAAGAACAGGAATAGATTTGGATATTTTAAATATAACTGCATGCTGAGGTTGTGTAAAAGTTAGGGCTGACCCCGAAGAGTCGAAAATATTCCGCCTTGATAGGCGGAGCCTGATTCGATCGTCAATTTCACCGTTGAATCTTCGCAGTGGCGTAATGAAAATAGGACCATTTTGGCTATATGGGGGAGCTCAACATCTAATTTTACATAGAACTACCGGTTTTCTCTAATAAGTTAATAAACAGCCTTTTACAATATAAAATCGACATATAATGCTGTAAACAAAAATGTGTAAAGAAATAAGCTTATTAAAGTGCGTAAATAAATCCTAAATTATGGCCCTAATCGTTTAGGTAGGAGCGTCGTGCGCTTCAGCAGGTGTGGCAGACACACACACCTGGGACTCCCGGGACGTTCGGATCATTTATCACCATTGATGATCAACAAAAAGAATATTATATTGTTTTTAACAGTTGGCTACTGGATAAACCCGCCAGAAACCACGACATACATGCAATTATCGGCTGCACGGCACGCACAAGCAAAATCGACACAAGACCAGTGAATGGCAGGCGAGCAGAGAGAAAGTCAACAATAAGCCACAGTTCAGCTGGAAATGTACAGTGTAAGTTACAGTGAGTGATGAACAGAGGGTGCAGCTCTGCAGCTTCTCAAGATTAAAGCAGAGCAACTGTGCCTAATTCTGTCCAACTTTCGCCCATGGTGCAAAACGTCACCATGTCGCATGACAGTTAAACCTTGCCGGAACAAGGCAGCTGCAGTTGTCTGAATCTGGCAACAGCAGCGGTTTTACTCCGGCTGCATAAAGTTGGAACCACCTTTTGCCTGATCTTAGCTCACACACTCTACTGGAGCATCAGGTCAAAAAGTCAACTCGAACGCACCTATTGTCTGTAGTGAGTGGGTGTGACGCGGTTCTGTCCCTCGGAACAGCAACACAAAATAGGGGCGTTTGTGTCGCGGTCCAGGTCTTTCAGAACCGTTACATCACTAGTGGCGATCAATAACTGTTTAATGAAAGCACTTACCAACAACAAGCTGAACGTGGACTAGTTGTCTTGACCAAAGTGGAAAATCACAGGTGTAGATGCCACTGTCAGTCACCTTCGTATTGCTGATGAGGATGGAGGCGTTGCCGTACTTCAGATTGGGAAAATGTGAGACGCGACCTTCAAACTGCTCATCTTGATTTGGAAAGCCGAAAGGAAAGCTTCTACCATACATGAACACCACCTTTTGACCATCTTTCTTCCAGTTAAAGTGTTTTTCCACAGCGTCCTTGGTGCTGTAGGAACAGGGTAAAATAGCATCACTGCCTTCTTTCACGATCACTGGCCCTGAAAGATAAAAAGTATGTTTACAATGAATTCAGTTAAGTTAAGACAGACATATAGAAGTGTGTTGTTGGAACAATATATCTATTCATGGTATTACATGAAACTTTTCCTGTTCTTTGAACTTGTCAAGCACTTTGTCCTCCAGATATTTGCACTTACACTTTACCTTTTAATTGTTTCTCAGGCGTTTATTTTTTGTTTCTTTATTTAGAATCTTTATTTTTTCACAATAGTCCTTTAGCACAAACTTAAGACCTGCCTCAATATTGATAATAAATAACATTTATCTCTCTCTTTCTTTTTCCCAGGTGATGACGAACATCAGCACTGACTCGACACTTAGCACACTAATAAAAAGGAAGATGAAAAAGAACGACGATGAAAACACAGAACTTAAAGTCAAACGTGAATGAATAAATTAGAAAGTAAAAAGACAATAACAACAAACATGCATCTGGTGACCGATGTTGACAAGCAGCTATGTACAGCGTGCTAACCTCGACAACCCAGCTGTATTCTCACGTTAACATAGTTATCTTATTAGCAAGACTCCTTACATGCTTGCTTATACCTTATTTGAAGGTCTGTTATATAGAAAATAGCGAGTTCAACTAGGGGTCGACCAATAATCGGCTGGCTGATTATCGGCACCGATATTTACTGACTGTAGTGTGGAAGTAGCCAATGGAACGAGCGAGCCATCGAGCTGCAGCCCCTCCCCTTCTCTCTCAGCAGAGCACACACAGAGCGACTTCAAACCTTTTGGCATTATTAACAATAACGTTTACGCAGAGAAGATGAATTTGAGATTCTTTTTTTGTGACCAGCTACCGATAAACATATTTCTACATCAATGTGCATGCAAACCAGGTTTCACTATATGATTGTTTATTAGTTTAATTTAAATACATGCAAATATACTTTCTGTTGCCTTTTGTTTATTTACAATGTGTGCTTCCATGAGAGCTGACATTTTTGTGTGATGTCATTCATCTGCTACTGGTGAAGTCAGAGTACATATTTTTTCTCCAAGTTCACAAGTAGGAAATCTGACTTCAAGTAGCGTTCCACGATAGTTTTTCTAGTTGGATGTTTCAGAGTTACGAGTTGCCTTGAACGCAGCATAAGTGCAGCAAAACCAGCAGTTGAGTAAAAGACTGATACTGCATTAGCATATTTTAAGCTGCTCTGTCTCATCCAGCGCATGTGCTTGGTTTTACACAAGCACATGTGCTAGCTCGGCTAATAGCTAGTTTGTTATACGCTGAGATGCTTCGTACCGTAAAGTTTTGCAAATCCTTGTAAAATCAGCTGCTTGTTGACAGAAACCAGCTCCTCTCTACCAGCAGCAGCAGAGGGAGGAGGAGGACTGAGGAAAAACAGATACTGATGTCTACGCTCTGTCAGAAATATAAGTTTATTTTTCATGTACCATTTGTTTTCAGATTTTCAGAGATTTTCTGATCTTATATTGTTATTTTGCTGCTCTAAACTTTACTTTTGTTGCTGCTCTGCAAACAGCTAGTTATATAAAACATTAAATTCAATTACTCTACAGAAATTGGGCTATTCTTTTTTTTAAATGACATATTTTTTAAAAACCAATAGAGTATAGACAAAGAACAGAAGCAATAAATAGTATCAATAAATGTATCAATACAATCCTAACAATGTAAAATGATACAATATAAATGGCAGAGAAAGGGAGCGGGAACAAGCAAGCAAGCGGCTGCTCCAGTACCTCTGGGTTTAAGCCTTTTGAGCTCTGGCACCTTTAATGTGCGTTCTGTTTTTCTGGACTGCCCTTCTACACAAATAAATCCAAGATTTCAGCCAGCCTAATAGGGTAAGCCTAATGGATTTCCTTATTTACTATTTGATTTGGTAGCTACTAATGGTTCTGTTCGCCCTTTAAAACAAAGTGCAGGTACACCATGCGTTTTAAAAAGCCTAATTAATTACTTCATCATAATTATGAATCAATTATTTTCGGCGGGCAGCACATTTAATGCACTCTGGTACCAAATAATTTACTAATTAAGGACTGCCCTTAAGGTTAAACATGCAACTGCAACTCCCCCTACAACAGATTACTGACCCCACCGTCTTGACTGATCCCTACTGCCCCCCCCCTCCCATTTTTCTGGGGGCCAGAATCAGGGAATAAGACATCTGCTTTCAGTTAAGGTTGACATCTAGGTTGGCAGGTTTGTTGCTTACCTAGAGGGCCTCCTACAACCACTTCACAGCTCAGGCAGAGCCTAAACTGTATTATGAAAATATGTTACAGCTTTCAGATATTTCCTTCCAAGAATGAGACATTCCAGTCATGTCACTGACAACTAAATAAATCTAACCACTTTCAGTCCTTGTGCATTGCTTCACCGCCCCGCCAGTCTGATAAAGTTGTACCGTTAGCTGATCTTTCTTCTACTTGCATAACTCTGAACTTCAGGGTTGACAAGACAATTCAGCAAGAGGGACTTTTGTATGGCTTGGAGGACGAATGCTTTGTCGAGTACTTTAAATATAGTTAAACATAAGTGATCTTTTTCTTTGCTCTGTTTCCCATCTCTATAATATCTGATATCTGTGCGCTTTGTGATTATAAATTGAAGCGCACGTCTCAAAAGAAGAATAAAGGTTTTGCTGCCTCTGATTCAGAATGACATTAAGGCAGTTTCATTTTCCAAATCATATGCAGCTCCCTCTCACTGCTGATGATCTAATTCCTGTAAGCTATTACCCATGAACAAGACATAAGGTTTGAATTAGGCTCTCCTGTTTGTAATTCATTTCCAGGCACAACAGAGTACAGTTACTGAGTACTAGATGATTGAAGAGCTATGGTTCAGTCTCAACTACATTTTTGAAGTCTTGGTCTTGCTTTGTGTTTATTTTCATTTGAGCTTAGCTCGGTCACTAATGATGGATGAAACCGCTCATCAACCTGAAAGGTTTGACAGATGTGTTTTTTCTCTCCACATGATCTCCTTAATTTGCAGGCAGTTTATGGGGTAAAACTGGAGTTGTATGTAATCACACATTCAGTTTAAGCAGTGTTTTTACATTAAAACGAACTTTTTTCATTGCCTTATTTGATCTAAGATCTCAATTTTAAGTCAAAATTAGTTGTGACTTGAAATACTGGGTACTGAATTAAAATGGACAGGCTGAGACTGAATCCAGAGGGTGTACACTGCATCCCTGACTGATGGGGAAAATGTTTTACAAAGAAGAAAAAACATGTTAAATCAAGTGAAGTTAAGTTTTGAGACAAATAAACACCCTTAGTCGGACTGGATTATGCTCTGGCAACTCCGTTTACCTCTATGTCACATCTTTGTCTGAGGGAGAGTGTAGCCACGTTAATACGAAGATCAACGTGGAAAGAATCTCTGCAGATATGTCGCATTCGCTGATTCATACTGATCAAAAGTTTGCAGCATTATCCTGCAACCCTATGTGCTTTCACATAGCGGTCCGGCTTCATCGGAACCAGCAGCACACACAAACCACGCAAAGTTCTTTGTCTCTGTCTCATCTGGCACCAACTTTCCCAGCACAGAGGCGAATTAAGTCGGACGCCTTTTCCAGCTCCGTACCGCAGATAGGTTCAATACCCCCATGAAAAAAGGCAGCGTGAAAGCGGCTAATGTCTGGAGCTAATTACAAAAGTTGTACTTGGAGTGTTTTTAGCATTTTAATTTTAGCATTTTTAGCACTAGCTAACGTTAGCGCCACACCAAAAATCAACGCACATGAAAAGGAGGGTGAAGGGAAACTTAAAAAAACAAAGTTTGGGGTCCAGTCAGTGTCTGATCTACTGTCAAAACTTCTAATGGTCCGGCTGTCCTCCCCAGAGATCGAGGAGTATAATCATAGGCTGTATTAAAAAATGTTCATCCTACAAAAGCTGTGGCAGAGGGGTTCGGGCAGAACCAGGAGGCATTGTCTCCTATTATTTGTTAACATCCTAACTTTGATTGGATGGAAAACTTATTGCTTCAAATGCAACAAATAAACCTAATTAAAAATGTGCTGTTACCGTTAACGACTCCATGCAAGTAAGCATAGAAAAGGAGTGTTGAATAAAGATGGTTAAGCTGATTTCAGCTCTTGGTGTTTGTATGTGGGTGTTTTAATGGGAATGTGGATCTTATAGATCAATTTGAGAAGTACCTGTGACGTCGTTCCACATTTTATTTCATGTAATGTGGGGAACTGGTCTTGGTCTCGACTTGGTCTCAGCCCCTAAAAGTCTTGGTCTTGTCTCGGTCTCGATAAACTCTGGTCTTGGTCTTGACTTGGTCTCGGTTTGGGCGGTCTTGACCACAACACTACTGATGAGGAGGCCTAAGTTAAATGATGAAGCATGATTAAGAGTGAGCAGTGATGAGATTGTAAGTTTAGAAAACAATTTACTGTTATGTCTTAAGTACATTTAATAACAAAAATATAATTTTGCTTTCAATTTCACTCCGCCCTCTTCTTTAAGTTTGTATTTGACATAATACCATAATAATCTCAATTTAAAGTACTGAAACAAATATTATTATATATTTATTATTTTGGCCGGTAAAAATATGCTTGTTGGGTGGATTTTTTCCATCTACCTCCCACCTTGGCAGGCTTGCTAAAAAGTTTCTACCCCTGCGTAACGGATATCTAACTGTTTAATGAAAGTACTTACCAAAAACAAGCTGAATGTGGACCGGTTGTGGCATAAAACGTGGACTATAACAGGTGTAGTTTCCACTGTCGGCCACCGTCGTATTTCTGATGATGATGGAGATATTGCCGTACTTCCGTTCATCTTCAAAATAGGAGACACGACCTTTGAACTGCTCATATTGACCCGGATGGCCGTTATTAGAATGAAGGCCTGCATCATATCTGAACACGCTATTCTGACCATCTTTCCTCCACTCAAAGAGTTTGTTCTCAATGTCGTCCTTGGTGCTGAAGGAACAGGGTAAAATAACATCCCTGTCTTCTTTCATGATGATAATCACTGACCCTGGAAGATATAAATATGTATTAATCAGTATGTTTACAAATAATTCAATTAAGTTAAGACATACAGAAGTCTGTTGTCAGAACAACATCAACTCATGTTATAAACTTTTTCTGTTCGCTGTGGGCGGCGTTACTTTGCAGCATGCCAGATTTGAGCTTATTAGCTTTAAGAGCAACTGCTAGAAACATCTGCAAATACACAGTACAGTGTGTACGTTAACATAGCTATCCTTATTAGCAGTGATCCAGGCTTGCTTATAACTTATTTGAAGGTGTGTCTCAGAGATTGACAGCGTTGTGTTAAGATACACTCACCAGCCACTTTTTACAAATGTGTCAACGTCACTATAAAGTGCCTTTGATGTCCTCCTCAGAATCACTCAGTCATCATGAACACTTAGTAAACTAATTGAATTCTGAGATATTATAAATAACCAAATATTTACACTCATCAGTACAATGATTAGTCTCCAGAAATGTGTTTCCCTCATTTTATACCATTTTATTTGATTGTATGCATGTGATTTTTGCATGTCCCGTGTGCTGCTCTGCTAACTTCACTAAGTGTAATAAGTGGTTTAATTACACAAAATTAAAATAGTTTCTATTTGTAATTATAGTCCTTAGCATGTTCGTTCAGAAACAAGTCATTTTCATAGTTTATGTTTAATCTTCATTATAAAACTAAACATAACAAACAAAATGTTTTCACATATTATAAAATCTTTCTATGATTTTTTAGGAAAAGATGAGGACCAAATAGTTTTGTTTAAAAGTTTGAGTCTCAAAGGCACCTTATAGTGATATTGACCAAAATAGCTAATCAGCCAATCACATGGCAGCATCTCAATGCATAAATTTAGACATGTGGGCGTGGCCAAGACAAGTTTAAACCGAGCATCAGAATGGGGAAGAAACGGGATTTTAGTGACTTTGAACGTGGCATGGTTGTTGGTGCCCTGCGGGCTGGTTTGAGTCTTTCAGCAAGCTGCTAAAATACAACCTGACTGAGTAAATAATGAGAAAGACTTTCACAAAGATCCCGAACACGTTTATATTAACATGGAGGTCAATCCACAGCTTTGGATCTAAATTTAAAATGTGAGAAATTAAGCCAGAGAGAGAGGGGGGGGGAACAATGGAATATTTTTTTCTGGTTCTTATTTATTGACAATTTGCTAAAAAGTATCAAGAAAACAGGATATCAGTTAAAACAGAAATAGGAGGCGTCCTTAACTTTCAGAAGGAGCTTAACCTATGTGTTTGACTGGGTTTTGTTAATTTGTTGAGATGATCATAGAAAATATTTTCTAGTATTCATTAAAAGTGAAATAAAATACTGTTACAACCCAAAAAATACAACATAGGGTCTAAAATTGTGTGCTTCATTTTAATCTTAATTTAAAATGTGAGAAATGAAGCGCGAGAGAGAGAATCAACCTTTTCTGCCTCTTATTTATTTATTTATTATTATTATTTAATTCTCAATTCTAACCCGGAGGTAGCAATGAAGAGTCTATATTTGATCATAAAAAGCCTATATCAGTGATGTTTCCCAACAATTAATCAGGTTCGGCACAAGAAGCTCTTCTCGATAAAGTTTCTCTCTGCAGGACGCTCCTAAAAATAACGTAAACATAATTATAATGCGAAAGACAGGTTATAGCCGAGGCTGCATACAGATGGGCAACAGAGGTAATTCATATGGATGTGTGGAAATAATCAGGATATTGATTACCAGTCTAAGTAACAGTTAAGTCGTTTTCTTACCGTGTTCATCAGCAAACGTTGTTCCAGACCGAGTCAGGAGACAGAGACACGCGAGAGGAAGAAGCTTCATGGTTGTTGAAGTCATCACTGTGACTTAACTGTAACGCCACTAACGGGACAATTATTGATTAGATGCTCACAGCGTGTTTAAGCGCGTTCCCGTTAAGTCCGTGAGAGCTCTCTCGCGTACAGGTTCAGCCCTTCTTGCTCCCCTTTCCTAAGTCCACATTTTTGCAGACTTTGCCTGGAGGAATAGCCCACTGTTTATAGCGCTGTGACGTGAAACAAGAGGAGGGTGGAGATGCTGCTGCTGGGTGCTTGAACACATTTTGCTCTTTGACGCCCAAAGTGCCCTTTTGTCAAGGCAAACTTTTCTTTATTTATTTACTTTTAGTTTTTGGAAATACCCTTTTGTGAAGGTCTGTCCAATCCAACTGTTTAATTAATAATTAAAATAATATAATAATAAAATAACCCTCATTTTGACCTTTCACCCGATGACCTCATCTGTGACGAGCTGGATGGATGGATGGATGGATGGAAAAATTTCAGTGATAATAATTTTCATGACATCAAAGTAAAGAGTGAAGAAAAATGGCCCTAGTTTTCAAGAAAAGTTATGAGATGTTAATGTGAAAGATTAATGCTACTCTCACATTTTAGTTTATTTATTTTTCATCCTTTCCCCATTAGTGTTTCCTTCTCATATTATTTCACACACCTTTCTGAATCTGGTATATTGGTACATCCGGTATATCTTATTTTCTGTACCTGCAGCTCCTGGTGTGCAGCGTCTCCCTCTTGTTTTCTTGTACCAGTCGGCCTCGGCAGCTGCTGCAGCACTGCAGCAGGTCAGTCAGTGAGCCTGTTCAAACACTCAGCAATCTTTACATCTTGTCATGCTCACATAATTGTTTAATCAGCTAATATATCTCCTATGTTTGTTTTAATATCTCTAGTCTCAGATCACCTCCAGCAGTATCCCCAGCAACCCCTTATTATATTATACATTATATATGTCATCTGAATTCTATATTAAAAATGTTTAGTAAGTCACAGCCTATTTCCTAACCCTGATTTCCCTGAAATCCTGTCGTGAGCTCAGTAGTCATTTTAAACTCTTGTCTCATGTAGGCCTACTATATTTCTTAATGTCTCATTCATTCACATTGAGGGTTACTCAGACCTGACTTTGTTCAGTTGTGGTGTTGATGATTTTGCTTGAACAAAACATATCTAATCTTTCCACACCCCAGGTGACTGAGATAAAACACTATATTGCTTGATATGTCTAACATCACTGTGAAGAGATGCACTGTACTAAATCCTGCTACTCTCCTCCCAACTCCCTCCAGACGAAAGACAGACTTATGATTGTGTTGCAGTGATAACAGAAGTGCGCTCCCCAAGGGCAGACATACCTTAAGTTAAGACTCAACAAATCCAGACATGGATTTGTTTGTGGAGGGCTCAGCATCACGTGATCCAGCAACTGGTAAAAATGTAGCTTCTCATCAAACGACTGTGGCAAAACCACTTCCTTCATACTATTCTGCACAAGCAGCAGAATTAGTTGCACTGACAGAAGCATGTAAATATGCTAAAGATAAATCTGTAAACATTTTTACGTCATTATTCAGGTGGTGTTACTCATGATTTTGGAAGATTATGGGCATCCACAAGCAAACCTATCGCTCATCAAAAACTGGTGGCTGAACTTCTTGAGGCTGTGCTGTTGCCTTAATTGATTGCTGCGTGTAAATGTGATGCTCACACTAACAAACTTGATCCTATCTCACAGGGGAATGCCAGCGCTGACATGCAGCAAAGACTGCAGCAAAACAGACATTAATCTCTCAGTGACTCGCCATTGACTCTTACATCTGATTTGAACCTTAAACTCTGTAAGATCAGCATGGTCAACTTTGGGGGCTCCACAGTACGATTTTGAAACATGTCTCAGATAACACATCAAGGGGTTCACAAGCCCACCATGAGAATGAATCCAACAGCCCAGACTAGCATAGTGGGTTTCACAAGACAGTGTTTCACAACAAGAGATAATTTCAGAGCTACAGAGGAGTGCAGATGGCTGCAGCCGTCCATCACACAGCTGAACATTTAACTGATACTTCTATACTTTTACTCAAGATAACTTTTTACATTGTGGTGTTGCTACTTCGACTTCAGTAAAGAGTCTGAGTACATCTTCCAGCACTGACAGCTGCCCAGCGATGTCGAGATTAAAATTTCAATTTCCAGATATTTCTTTTCAGGCTCAAAGAGTCTCAGAATACTGTAAATCTGATGTTTGATTTCCTCCTGTGTGGCTACACAGCGGCCGGTCTTGTTCACAGTAGTTTGGAGGGTGATGTAGAAGCTGCTCCTCTTTCTGAAACCTGTGTCTCCTCAGCAAGAAGTTTGTTTCCAGCACTGTCCTGACATTCTAGGTTTTGGAGAAACACCTCGAACTTCGCACTGCAGCAGCATCCTGCCCTTTGTTCGACCGAGTACTGTGACATGTGGGGTTGGAGCTGCACCTGTGAACGCAATTTAAACAACAACTTATAAAGAACAATTACAGGGTTGGACATGTAATACTGTAATGTATTTGTTCACCCTTCACTGCTAAAACATGAGCATATTTAAGTGTTTAAGTGGGAACAGAGACACAGAAAAGCAAAACATAAGCATTAAATATTTGATCAGGCTGCCTGAATAAAAAACTCATCATAAAATGTGTAGTCATTCTTCTTTTAGAGCTGATGAAAGATTGTATTTTCTTTCTCAAAAAAAAGGACAGCATTAAGTTATATTTCTTTAAAACGGCAGGTTAGTTCAAGTTTTATCATTTTAATTTATTAATCTAAAATCCATTAAGATTCTTCTAAGCAACATAAATGTAACTTTGATAAAATATTTTAAAAGGACCAAATTAAATGTGAGAGCTTTATTTCCTATCCTTCATTTGTCTGTGAAGGGGCACTTGCTTTTACACATGAGGATCAGTTCATTGGTCATGAGGAAAACTACCTGTTAAAACAGCTGTATAATGTCTGTAAATACAATGCAGCGTGTTAAATTAAGTTTTATAAAATAGATAACTAATACCAGGCCTTGAACTCATCCCAGTTTTCGCACACAAAGTACTTAAGCACAACTTTTTAATTCACTTCACCTTGACTCAGCTTTCTCATCCCTCCCACACAAACCCCATCTTCTTTTTTTCCGCTGCTTCCCTTCTCTCTCTTTGTCTGCATACGGGAACCTGAGATCCTGCACATCTCCCAACGAAGTGACGGCTCCCCCACTCAGAGTCCCACCGGCCTCCTCTTCACTCCCCTCCCTTTCATCCCTCGATGCTCTTCACCATCCCTACATCCCTCAGTCTTCCCTCCGGACCCTTAATCTGTTCCTTTTGTATAATCCTATCTCAGCTCCATTACAAGCAATAAACCATCTCAAATCTACATATTCGTAGGCCTTATGACACTTTGCACATAGAAGAATGAACTCAATCTGTTCCACACAGGGAGGAATACAGATTGAAAGTGTTTGAATGATATCAAGCTTCGGGAGCCAAACTCGCAGTAGAGGTAGAGAGTGACGTCATCAGCATCAGGACTTACCTGTCCTTTAGGCCACGCTCTAAAAGGCAAAACAAAAAACATGTTAGAGTGCTTATCAAATATGATCAACTGGGCAGATTCCTTCATCCCAATCGGCTTTGTTTTCAACACACATAAAAAAAACAAATAAAACACGAACTATTTATAAACTACATATAAAATGATAAATTACCACGAAGAAGAATCTCCCCATTGATGTGCACATGAATCTCAGTATAAATCTGACTGATTAAATGTCACTTTTCAACACTTTGTGTTGAAAAGTGACATTTAAGGGCCCAGATTAGGGGTTTCACAAAACATTTAGCCCATGAGATGTGACTATGCACAATAGGGTCACGAGAACAAAGCTAGAAGATATTTTATAATAATAATAATAATAAATAATCTTTATTTGTAGAGCACTTTTCAAAAACAAGTTACAAAGTGCTTTAACAAGTGTAAAGACAATAATACAAAACAATACAAGATAAAACATGAAAACATTGAAAAGACTAAAATACACGTTTAAGATAAATATAAAATTAGTAAAATACAATAAAATAAAAGGGATAAAATAAAGTCAAATAAGATCGGGAAAGGCTCTCCTATAAAAGTATGTTTTAAGAAGGGACTTAAAAGAGTTCACTGACTCAGCTGACCTGATTTCCTCGGGCAGGCTGTTCCAGAGCCTCGGGGCCCTGACAGCAAACGCTCTGTCCCCTTTAGTTTTCAGTCGAGACTCTGGAACAGACAACAGACCTCTGCCCGAGGATCTCAAGGTACGTGCTGGTGAGTATGGGACTAAAAGGTCAGAAATATAACAAGGCGAGAGGCCATGAAGAGCTTTAAAAGTGATCAATAGAATTTTAAAGTCAATTCTAAAACATACTGGGAGCCAGTGTAATGAAGCTAAAATAGGAGTAATGTGGTCATATTTCTTTGTTCTGGTTAAAAGCCTGGCAGCTGAGTTCTGGACAGTCTGGAGTCGATCAATAGATTTTTGGGTTAAACAGGTGAAAAGGCTGTTGCAATAATCCAGGCGTGATGAGATGAAGGCGTGTAAAATGGTCTCGGTGTCCTTAAAAGTTAACATAGATCGAATTTTTGCTATATTTCTAAGTTGATAAAAACATGATTGAACAAGCTTTGTGGTGTGCTGCTCGAAATTTAAATTACTGTCAAACCAAACACCAAGGTTCTTTGCCACAGGCTTAATGTGATTTACTAGGGAACCAGCAGATGGCAGTATTTGATTTGCCATCTGCTGAGACCCGATGACCAGGATTTCTGTTCTGTTCAGAGTTCAGCTGGAGGAAATTATTTGACATCCATTTTTTAACTTCACAAAGGCAGTTGTTAAGTGAACTCAGCATTTCAGGGTCTGTGGATCTGACGGGCAAGTATATTTGTGTGTCATAAATATGAAAAGAAATGCCATGTTTATGGATAATATGTCCAAGGGGAAGCAGATACAAGGAAAACAAAATGGGTCCTAAGACCGACCCCTGAGGCACACCATATTTAACTGGACAGAATGAGGAGACATAGTTGTTTACAGACACGCAAAACTTCCTATTTGACAGATAGGATGAAAACCATTCTAGGGCAGTACCAGAGATCCCCACCCAGTGCCTCAGTCTG